GGTCTTAGTATGGTGCTATTCCTGAGATCATTCCACCAATGCTAATGGAACAAGTCAACTATTTATCTTCTGTGTTTAAACCCAATCAACAACAGAAAAAGTTTCCCTGGTTACTCATTTTTATGTCCAAGTACAAAGTTCTTTGGATATTCAAATGGCAATATGGAATTTCTGATAACATAGTCATCCGTCAACACTTTGTTAAATGTTGGGATAACTTTAAAACCCCATGCATCGTTAAGCAAGTCCAGCTTGAATTCCTAGTCAATATTCATGCTCAAACTCCTGCCATGGTTAAAGCTCATCAGAACTCAACTACTTCAGTCACACAAGGAAGCCCATTTCCTCCAGTCAGACTTGGAAGCCCAATATCCAGCTCTTCCAAGCCCAAGTCATCCAAATCCAAAACAGCTCAGTCAAAGCCCAAGGTCAAGCCCAAGTCATCCAGTGATGAATTAATCTAGATGACCAAGTTATTAATGGCCCAAGCCAAGTCACAAATTGAAGATGAAACCTCTGAAGAATCAAATTCCTCCGAGGCTTCAACCAATAATGATCCATATGGACCCCAGTTCCAGGATGCTTATGACCCATATGCTTAAAAAGTCATTGGATTCTATATATATGCAAATCAGCTTCAATCACTACTCTGCTTTTGAGAAAAGCTGCTGTTTTGTATGTATGTTGATTCCCCATCAATCACATGCCTCCACCGAAGGCAATGAATAGTAAAAAGTCAAATTTACTGTTCACTATTCATCAATCAGACAATTCAACACAATCAAAAGCATCAAACAGCTTTAGTGAATCACCAAAAGTAGCAGGCAGCACCTATGTACCTCATCCTGCTCCTTTCCAGTCAAGATTCCTTCACAAGGCTCACAGTCATCTTCATTGCCTATAAATGAGCCACTCCAGTCATTTGCAAATCAGAGTTAGAATTGAGAGCAAACCAGTCTTTCTTTCCTACACCTATCTCTGATATTAAATCTGTAAATTTATTTTTCAAGTTATGTATTTTGAAGCTACTCTTTCAAGTTACTCCCAGTAAACAATTGTAAGTTATTGTTTTAAATTATTATTGCTTAATTTAAATTGTATTTATTTTAATATTATCTTTTATAAATTCCCTGCTTCCACATTGTTATTGCTTAATTTAAATTGTATTTATTTTAATATTATCTTTTATAAATTTCATGTTGCTTATTCTCGTATTTTTATGTATTTTTGATATTTAGTGAATTTTTAAAATATTTTTTTCACAAAAATTATACTTTTTATGTCTATTTATGTTAGGTGTTTCTAAAAATTAAAAAAATTACTTAAAATAAAAAATTCAGTAAAAACAAAAAACAAAAAACAAAAAAATAAAAAATAAGAAAGTAAAATTTTCTGAAAAGTGATTTTGGAAAACCAAAAACAAGCAAGCTGATATAGAATTCATTATGTTTAGCAATTGTTAAAAAAGTAATTCATCTTCTTAATATTTTTGTATTTTGTTAAAAAAAATATTTGTATTAAAAAAACTCATTGTTTAAGTCCTTGTAGTTTAGAAGGACATAATTTTTTTTAAAAAAATTTAAAACAAAAAATAACAAAAAAGATAAATATTCAATTTTAATAGTGATTAATAATTTAAATATGTGTATTTAATAACGTATTATGTTTAGACCAATAATTTATGACACATCATTATGACATATGTGAATATTGATCTTATTTTAATTGTAGTAACCTAATTTTAAAAAGAATTTAAATTTAAATTTTATTTTATAATTTAATAAAAGATGCATAAATTAAAGAATGGATATTGATCTTATTTTGATAACATAATTTAAGGAAGAATCTAAATTTAAAATTTTATTTTAAGAATATAAAATTAATTTATAAACCAATCATATTGTGACACATATCAACAAAAATTAAATAATAAAAAAAAAGAATTATAACTTTAAGTTTTAATAGGATGAAAAAAAATTTCAATTATAGTAGTATATAGATTTTGGGGGGATTTTTTTTAGGGTCCCTGATATTAAGATTTTATAGCATAAATGACATTCAATATTTTCATAATGTCCAAGGTCTCTCAAATCGATCCAAAGAAAATTCAATCCAAATTAGAGAATTTTTCTGGTCCAAACCAAAGAAAATTTAGTTTAAATCAGAGAATTTCTCTAGTCCAAACCAGAGAAAATTCATTCCAAACCAAAGAAAATTCATTCCAAGCCTGAGAATTTTTCTGGTCCAAACCAGAGAAGATTTTGTGGAGATGAGGAGAGAGGGATTGAATTGATCATCCACCAGCTTCCAAGGCTGCGATTGAATCAATGCCTACAATTGAGATCGTTGAAAGCCATATATCCATCGAATCATACTATGTTGTTTGCAAAGAACCTTTTGAATTAGGAATCAAAGCTCGTGAAATGCCCTGTAAGCATATACACCATCCAGATTACATACTTCCTTGGGTTTCTCTTCTGTCTCTGTTGAGTCAAATATCGGATAAAATGATCAGACCCAAATGGGAAATGATGATGTGTCAGAGTTGAATGAATGGTGGAGATCGCTTGCCTTTCAATTCTATGATTGTGCTTTGTGGCCCTTCTGATGGCTACATTTTTGAAGTCGCTACCAACGGTGGCGGCAGAGCGTTTGAGTTATACTATGACGACGGAGCTGTGTTTGGGTTGAGGCCATTACCGACAAGTATGTCGGAATTTTTTTAGGGTCTGGTTTCGATCGGCTTTTGGATCAATTGTCCCAAATTCTTACAAATATTTTTCACCTTGAGATCTTCACCCTCTCAAAATAGGGAAAGCAGAGAGAGAGAGAGAGAGAGAGATGAGTTTTGATTTGACATAGTGAAATTTCTCTGTGATATATTAGTGTAAGGTTAAGGGACCTTAGACATCATAAAATAATATTGTGGATCTCTTTTATAACTAAAAATGGAAGATGGATCTTAGACTAATTTTCCCTAGATTTTGTATGGGGTTTTGAAACTTTCGTAATATCTCTTCTTAAAAGTATTCTTTTATAAAATATATAAATATTTTCAACGTCAATTTTATTACTCTTAAATACAAAAAATATGAGCTAATTATGATAAATTTTAAATTTATATTTAAAACTTACAAATCATGGGATAGATTATTATAATTTTAAATTTATGTTGTGTCAATTTTAAATTTAAATTAAGAATAGATTGTTTTACATATTTAGGGATATTTTGGAAAGATAGTTAAAAGTTATTTTTTGACTTTTTTGTAAGAAAGGGAAATGAGTTAAAAGTTGGGAAGCGACTTTAACCCACTTCCCAAAATGAGCCTTAGTGACCCTCAAATTAAAATTTTTTTTTTTTGATAAATAAAACCAAACTTTATTAAAACACATCAAGATGCTGCAAACCAATATAGAAAAGCCATTCCCAATTAGGGGAAAACTACCCATAAACAAAGCTAACCAATCACATATTCTAGAAAATCCAAAAAAATAAATAAGTCTGGATCAACTTTCCTCTCCAACCAACTATACATAACTACTAAAAGACGATTTTGTAACCAAACAACCCCATGAGCAGCGTCTAAGAAAGTACGTCGATTCCGCTCCAACCAAACAAGCCACATCAAACAAAACGGCGCCAACGCCCAAACTCGCCGCCGTCGACGCCCAAACCTAACACCCCGCCAAGCCCAAAGCATATCCAACACCCCTTTAGGTTGAACCCAAGCAATCCCAAAAGGAGAACAAATAAAACCCCACAACTGGGAAGCCACCAAACAATGAAGAAATAAATGATCCACCGACTCAGCAACACGACAACACATGCAACACTGATTCACTAAAACATGACCACGCCGCATTAAGTTGTCCAAAGTAAGATTCCGGCCTAAAGCAGCCGTCCACATAAAGAAAACCTTCTTAGACGGAACACCCGGTAACCAAACACTATTCCAAGGACAAGAAAAACCATCATCCCCCACCAAACCTTTATAGAAAGATGTAACTGAAAACCTCCTCTTAGCCCCCACCCCAGACCACTCCATAACATCTTGACCCCTCCCATTTATTCCCAACCCATATAACACAGCTCACAACTCTATTAACTGACCTTTAAATTTAAATTTTGAAATGGATTAGTATATTTTTTATTTTTTAAAAAAATTTGATATCTTTTTCGTTTGAAAGTTATAAATCAAAAGAACTTGGTAATTTTTTATTCCAATATAATTTTTTTTAAAATTTTTAAAAATTAAAAAATTATGAAATTTATATGGGGAGTTTGGAGCTCTCACTAGGTTTGTAAATTAGAAATTCTATTTTTCTTATATTAAGAGTGTTTTGAGAAGATGGTTAAAAGTTAAAATTTTAACTTTTAAAATTTTTTTTTATTGTTTTATGTGAGAGGTGATGTGATCTAAAATGAATTAAAAGTAAAGTGAGTTGCTAAGCCTCCGTTTGGGAAGTGGGTTGGCTTTTTGGCTTTTTGGCTTTTTTGGCTATTTTAGCCTGGGCTAAAAAGCTTGGTTTGGGAAGGACTTTTTGGCTTTTTGGTTTTTTTGACTTTTTTTGTGAGAGAAGAATGTAATGATTATGGGTTGGATGTGATGTTTTGTTTGTTATGGCTAAAATAGCCTATTTTGTTTTTTGTGGCTAAAATAGCCAAAAAAGCCTGAAAACCATCTTGCCAAACAGAGGCTAAAACACCCCATAATATGGATAGATAGATGGGGATAGGCGCGTGGCTACATTCCATAACAATAGGGTAACATTGTGCTAATTGGAACCACGCGCTCGAATATGATTGGAGAATAGGAAAGAGAAGTGCGTGGCGCGAGCCCGCTCCAACTCCTTCCCTACTCGCATCCACCACGCGCCACAACGACGCTTCCAACTTCATTCCACCAATCACCGAGCGCGTAGTTTGACAACCCATGGACTTCTACACCTACAAGTACAAACAATTAATTACAGAGAGGAGGGGGGGGGGGGGGGGGGGGGGAAATGAACTCTTGTCTTCCTCACGGCTCATCGATCGTACAGTGTATGTAAATGTATATATTTCTCTCTCTAGCGAGAGAGAGAGAGAGTCGGGGGGATTATTATGGCCCGAACTCCGGCGGTGGTGGTGCGGTGGTTGGTGGTGGTGGTGATTTGCTGTTGTACGACGACTCATCTTCTTCTTCTTCTTCCTACTGCTGAAGCTATATGGTTGAACCTTCCGAGTTCAGGAACAAAGTGCGTGTCGGAGGAAATCCAGAACAACGTCGTCGTTCTGGCCGACTACGGCGTCGTCGGAGATGAAACCCACAGTGGTGCTCTTCCCACCATCTCTGCCTCCGTAAGTCTTCTCACTTGTTACTGGTATGGCGTTTCATTATTCCTTGTTGAAAAATGTTTGGGAGCTGTAAACTCTGAACTCTAAAGGAGTTCTAGGGTGGCTCTGGGTCTCACTTTTTAATGTGATGTTTTGGTTTTAGTGTTTTTTTTTTTTTTTTTGAATTTTCACGTTACTAGTGTTCAATTAGAGATCCCTCTAATTAGGGATGAATCATTGTTCCTTATTTTAAATTGTCATTATTGGTCTTAAATCGTGATTGATTGATTCATGTTGTGATTCGCATATTGTGTGTGAATGAAATTGTTTAATTTGCTATTGATTTATATTTAGTTGTACATGATCTATGGCTTTCCTCAATCAATACACACACACACACACAAAAAAAAAAAAAAAGAAAAGAAAAAAAAAAAGAAAAGAAAAAGAAAAATAAAAGAGCTTTGTGTGATCAGTTTTGAGAAAATATGAATAAATCAATTTGAGAACTTCTGAATGGAATTGGATGGTCATTTTACTGGAAAATTTCGTTGCGTTCAAAGATTTCGTTGTCTTCTTCATTTTGGATATCTATTTTTAAGCAATGCCATTTGATGGTGAAATTGAGATGGAGTTGCCTTAAAGGTAACGATTTTTTTTTTTTTGATCGGACGAAATATGTCAATTAAGAAGCCAAACGGCAGTTACAGGAGTCCAAACAAACCAAGACTTACACCATACAAAGTGAAAATAAAACAAGAAGCGCTTAGGAAGAAGAAATATGAAAATATTCAGACGTACATATCGTACTCGTGCTCGTACTGCGAAGCAGAGCCGATCATAAAAGTTCGGCAATAGAGCATGTCCGAAATATTTCATAGATCCCAACCACAAAGAGGGTAGGCTAAACAAATCGCACAGATGGACTCCAACAGAACCAAACAAACCCAAAAACCAACACAAACCAAATGAAGGAAAATAAAAGAAAAACAAACAAAACAAACAAACCCACACCCAATCAAGAACCAGTAGCGGCTTCGGCGGATCCGGCAGTGGAGACGACCGGCGATGCAGCGGCGGCAGAGAAGGGCGGTGGAGACGGCTAGAGAGGTTGAAAAAGGGCGATGAAGGCTGCAGGGGAGGCGGATCTGGCGTGAATGGAGAAGATGAAGAGGAAGAGGCGGCGGAGAAGAGGCGGCAAGCTATGGAGAAGACGACGGGGCGGTGAAGGAAGTGGAGAAGGCGCGGATCCGAGGGGCCACTCCCGGAGTGAATGGATGTGGGAGAAACGCCTCACAAAGGAGGGAGAGGATGGAAAGCCCAAGCTTCCAAGTTATGGGAAAGCAAAATAAGAAAAGGGAAGAGCAAAAGAGGGGTAGAGGGAGGGGTGAGGAGGCCGGAGGCCGCCGGAAACCCCTCCCCCACCGCCGGCAGCCTCACAGTTGGAAACCCTAGGAGGAGAAAAGTTTAGAGAGAGAAACTCTCAAACTAGAGAGAGAGAGTGCCTTAAAGGTAACGATGGACTTGGGAATTTTGCTAAGGGGGCCAAGGTAAATTACTTAGTTTTTGGGAGGGCTGGATAAATTTTAGATTTTGGAGGGTCAAAATGATAATATCTTGTATATAAACCTAAAATAGGACAAGGCTTGTAGGCATTTTTCTTAAGTTTGGAGGAGCTAAAATGCTAATTTTTCTTGTAAGTACCTAAAAAAAAAGTATAGGACTAAATGGCATTTTCTGAATTTTGGGGGTGCCTACTACACTGTCTGCCACTCCTTAAAGGGATGATGCATCAGCGCATATAATTCTGTTACATAGTGTTTTGGTTATACTTTTGTATGCTTCAACATATTCCCCGACGCTGGATGTGACATGTTAGAGCATTTATGCTGTGTGTGGATACAGGACAGTACACTTTGATCAGTTTGTGGCAATGCCATCGTGTGGCCATGGCATCTTGGTACCAGTGGGTCTTGTGAGAATGGTTAATGTTGCATGAAGATGCATGATTGTCTATCAAATCCATCAAATGTATTAAGTGTTTACTTCAAACGCGGACCTTATGATGATTGCATGTGCCTTGACAAGTTCAGAAAACTGTCACTGGTTGGAGAAATATTAAAGTTAATTAAGCAGTATTAAGGACATTTTCTCCAAAACTAAAGATGTTGGTGGATTCAAAATCATAAACACTTCAACTTTTAATGCAGTAAATAAAGTAATATTTTTCACCAAAAATATGTAGTGCTGCATATTTTGGAGCCAGAGAGCTGTTCTGCACATAAACTGTAAAATAAGCATCATGTTTGTGAACATTTTATGTAGGTAACATCGCCTTTTGGGAACAACCTCCACCGCCAAGAGAATGTGACCCATGGCCAATTTGCATTTACTGCTAAGGAGGCAGGCAACTATGGGGCATGTTTCTGGGTTGATGGTAATCACCAAGGAGGCCAAGATGTACCGGTAAGTCTTGAGTGGAGAATTGGAGTTGACGCAAAGGATTGGGAAACAGTTGCTAGGAAAGAAAAGATTGAGGTAAACTATTAATTTTTTTTTAAAATTGAATTGAATTTTCTTTTTATTTCCTTTCCCCAAATTTCTCTCTTATTACATGTGTGTGAGGATGTGTGTAGGGTGTTGAACTTGAGTTGATGAAACTTGAAGGAGCAGTCCAAGCCATCCATCAGAATTTAATTTATTTAAAGGACAGGTAAGGTTTTTTTTTTTTTTTTTTTTTTTTTTTATTGGTTCTATTGCTAGGAATACTTTTGTTGGGATACAGGATGCCACTGGTTTTGATGCCTCATATATCCACATACACACGCACGGCACGCCTTGTCTGACTTTTTTTTTTTTTTTTTCCCTCGTTGAATCTTTATATCATGTTTGCTTTTGTGGATACTTGTATCAAGCCCAATACATGGCAAGCTCTATGGGTGCCACATCAGCAAACCCTGCCCATGCGGTAGACTGATAAGGCACTACGTGGACATATGTCACCAACACCTACCTGCATGGCAGACCGCCAAGGTACCATGCAAAACCATGACTATATGCTTAGCCTAAGCCGAAGCATACACGCAAGCCTAAATATGAAAAGCCTTACAAGAGGTAGCACCATAGCCCTCTCAAACCCATTGTCCTTTGTACCTCGCTTGAAGACCAAACAACAATATAATCAACCCTCGGCTTACTTGGACTTGGATTGATTAGTGCAAGCCCTTGGCTCTCCTAAACATTGAGATAGGCCCCTGGCCCATTCTCCTACTTCGTCGATTGGACGCGAGCCTGTGGCTCTCCTAAACATTGAGATGGACTCTAGCCTATTCACCTACTTAGTTGCCTGGATTGGGAGCAGGACCCAAGCACTATCGCTCGGGGTCATCAGAGGATCTTGAACTAGCGGCTGAGGTCATGGGATCGTCAAGATGATTGCCTTCTTGCTAAATCAACTCCATCTTGATTAAGCTTAGAGAAAAGGCAATAGCGACCTTACACTCACACCGTCTGATGCATGCATGATATGTTGTTCTCTCACTTGCCATCAAATCACAAACGGCAGTAGGGCTTATATCAGCTTCTAGCAGGATTGGGAAGAAGGAGCCACCTGTCCAACAGGTTGCTTGGGCTCCAATACTCTGAGAGCCTATATAACATATCATATATGCAGTAGGCAGACACATAACCACAACTCCAACACTATAACATAGATTCACAACACACACGTCTTACACTTAGACACTCATACTCATACTTGAATACACACTTAAAACACTAGTGTTCAAGGTCCATCACTGCCCTCCGAGCTTGCCTTGGCCTCCTCCTCTGCACCTCTGGTGATCTCAGGCCATTGAAGTGCCCGCCATCTTCCCAGAGGTCAACGACCGACTACCTCTACACACACATAACCCACAGTTTTCTTAACTGGGCCTAAGCTGTCAAAAAAACTAAATTATGGTTTTTTTAATAAAAAAAAATTATATAAAAATTATTTTCTCTTCTATTCTTGTAAATGTGCTGAAACAAATTATTATTTAGAGGTTATTTATATGGAAATTACTATTTGCGGCCTTTGGACAAGGAGCCTTTGGAGAACAAGGATATTTTTTAAGCATTTACTATTGAGGGTGGCCTTTGAACTAAAAAAGACTTCATCATACATTACTACTAGCCTATCACCCGTGCTATACACGAGATAATTATAGATATTTATATTTGTTGTAGATTTTTTTTAATATATAAATTATGTTTTTTAAGATTTTTTATAAAAATAATTTAACAATCTTATTACTAACCATAGCGTATAGGAGAAGTTGAAAAGTGTACTGTAGTAACTATACACGGATTGTATCTATAATTATTTGTTTGGGGGATTTTAAATGCTAATCAGGGAATTTTGACCAAATCAATAAATGCAGGCATGTAGAAAGACATATGGATTAAAAAAGTTAATAAATGTTGATCAGGGAAATTTTGACCAAATCAATAAATGCTGAGTTTTTTTAAAAAAAAAATTAAAAAATTTAGAAAATTCAAATTGGTATATTGAAGCTCCCACAGGCCTTGGGGTTAAAAACCCCCTTTTGCTTAATATATAGTATAGATTGGGGTTTTTGGACAAGAAATGTTTTTTTTGTCTCCTTGGTCTTTGAATAAGGAGGGGTTTCTTTTTAATGTGCTGTTTGACAGAGTTATATAATTAGGCTTTGTATAATAAGTTTTTTTTTTTCCTCTTCCTAACCATTTGCAACAGCCTGGCTGACCCTGCAAAGTGAGCATAGAACATAAATTTCTAAATTAGCTGCAGATGGATAGAAGTACTTAAAAATATAAGGGATCAAATTGAACAAATTTTCGAGTGAATCTTTAATTTTACAAAACTAGTTCTGTCAAACTAAATTTGAAAATCTAAATCTAATATACTTTTTTTTCCTTGGATATATGCATACACAGGGAAGCAGAGATGAGGGAAGTCAGCGAAAGAACCAATTCCAGAGTGGCGTGGTTCAGTATAATGTCCCTTGGTGTCTGCATTGTTGTTTCGGGTCTGCAGTTGTGGCACTTGAAGAGCTTCTTTCGAAAGAAAAAACTGATCTAGGTTTTCACTTTATAATCATGTTTTTGATATAGTTCACCAAGATCATAAGGCACAAGAAAATTGCATTTTGATTTTTGCTGTACCATATTTTTACCTTTTCTTCTCCATTTCCCCCATCATCCCTGCCCTGCATTGGGAGAGAGAGTGATGGGAATCGAGAGGTAAATGGATGAAAAAACTATGAAAGGTTAGGACTTCAATATATTTAGGAACTAGCAGTAACCCATGATATACATGGGACGACATGATTTAGATTTCATTAGGATTTTGGTTCGGTTTTTAAGGTTGTTTATGTATTTATTTATTTTTTAATTTCCTTAATGGATAATGCTTTTAAGCCTATACATAGGAGCTTGTGTATTGAAGATTGAATATTGATTGAGTTTTCGGGACTAACTTTCTCAGCTTGTCTTTTTTTTCTCTTCTTCTGTCTTGTTCTTTCTTCTCTTCTTTCTTGCTAGTGCTACATCATGGGGTGTTGTGGGTTTACGTGTATATTAGAATTTGGTTTTTCCAAATATATATTGTTGGGAAAAAAGATTGAGTAATGCTATATGTCCTAAAACTCTTACTAAAAATGTGTCCAACCCTCAGATGTCTGTTTGGCAAGGGCTATTTTAGCCCTTCTCAAGCTAAAATTTACAAAAAAAGATAAATTAGGTTAAAATAGTTAATAAGATAAAATGTCATATCAAATTTATAATCATTTTATTTATTTTTTTTACAAATATAACATCTAACTATAAAAAAATCTAATTTTGTTTTTTCAAATGCAAAAATTTTAGTCTACTAAAATAGTCAAAAATTAAAATAACATATTAAAATAACAACTTTCTAAACTCCTACCAAGTTTCGTTGTTTTTTTATGACAACTAATCATATTTCGCGCCTTGTACTTTTAGGAAGTAATAGTGTTAGTTTGTATTGGATTACAGTAATGATAGAGATCCTTACAAAATACAACCTTTACAACCCTTAAAATGATCTGAACCATTTATGTCACTATTAGACACGATCTCCGAAAAAAATTCAAACATATCAATGTCCAACATATTAATGGAGATCGTGGGAATCCTCCTTTGTGAGTTCCCACATTTTCCTATTGAATTATTCAAAAAAAGTTACTGATTGTGGCTGTAACATTGAGGTCATAACAGCTACATTCCCCACGGCATCCACGAGGATTTAAATGTATGTTTAGAATAATTTTTTAATTTTTATAAAAAGATGTGTAATAAAATATTATAATAAAATCAAAATAATAATTTTTTCTTTTTAACTTTTTGACTTTTTGGATAGTTAAATTTAAAGGGCAAAATAATATTTTTATCCTAGTGGCTTTTTCACAAGCTATCATTAAATAGTATAAACTTTTTAATTTTTTTTAGTAACTTTTTGATTTTTAACTTTTTTAATTTATTCCAAATAAGGCCTAAAAGACAAAAACGGGAGCGAGTATCATCTTCCTTTTTAAATTTCAATTTCTAGTTAAGTATCCAAAATAATTAATGAAATTGAAAACACAAAATGATTTAAATTCGAGATATCCTATGCATCACTTTGGTGTTTTCAATTTCATTATAAATTGAGTTTATATTTTAATTTTCGCTTAGATTGAGTCCTTGAGCATTCATAGTTTTGATCTCATAAATACTCGAGTGAAGCTTGGGACAAACTCAATACAATCTGAAGGATGAGCTTAAAGATCCATTTTGTTTTCTCCTCTGAGTTCTGCAGGTACTTATACACTCGTATATGTGTATTTACACAATTTTATGTTTTTATATTTGGGTTTCAGCATTTTGACAATAATTAATTTGGCTTACTTTTTTCACGCATAAATTTGACGAAGGTCAAACGACAATTGTGTTTGAATTCATGCCTTACCATTCAAACGAGAATACTATTTTTGTTGTGAGTCAATTAACGCGTTAATGTTCTGAAAGTCGGATTGTCGATCAAACTGGAAAAGTGATCGGATTACGGTTCACTGGTTCAATCGTCAGATAAATTAGAATTAAATTGTGACGTCATAATTATCTAATAAATATATTAATAATTATTTTTAAATAAAAATTACATTTATTCATATTTTAAGACATAAGTAATTTATATAAATATTTTTACCGAATATATATATATATATATTTATACAACTATTTTTATGTTGATGTTATTTGTAAAAATATTACTTGTAAGGGCAAATTACCAACACCCCCTCGAGGTTTGACTAAGATACAGATTCTCCTCTGAGATTTGAAAAATTACATCCCGTCTCCTAAGATTTGTATTTGCATAACAAATTATCCCTTGAGGTTTGTAATTACATAACAAAGAAATTTGTTATGCAATTATAAACCTCAAGAAACAATTTATAATTTCTCAAACTTTAGGAAGAATCTGTATTTTAATCAAATCTCGAAGTGGTATTGATAATTTCCCTTAATTGTAACTAGCATATCACTCGAGTTATGTACGGATTGTGTTTAAAATTATCTATCTATGTGAATTGTGATTTTTAAATATATTTTTTTAAATGTCTTCTTTTTTTCCTTTTTTAAATTATATTAAAGTTTAATATTTTGATAATAATCATATGTGTTGGACTTTTCAAGAAATTTTTTTTATGTTTGTTCTTAATACATTAAAATGTTACTATGAGGGATAATAATCATATGTGTTGGAACTTTTCAAGGAATTCATATGTGTTGGATTTCAATTTTTTTTTTTTTTATACTTGTTCTTAATGCATTAAGGTGTTATTATGAGAATAAAATTTGGGAGTTAGGAAAAGTTAATAAATGTTAAGATTTTTTTTTTTTAAATCAGGAAATGTAGATTGGAAAATTAGAACTCTCATAAGACTTAGGATTAAAAACTTTATTTTGCTTAATATATAGTATAAATAGCATTTGAGAGAAAATATGTTGAATACAGGGTTATTTTGGGAACTTGGCTAAAAGTCACTTTTTTGGTTAGTAGCAAAAGCCAAAAGTTAGCTTTTTTGGTTTTTTTTTCATTTGGCAAGTTGGTTTTTAGCCAACGGTGCAATTACAATTTTACCCCTCATGGGTCACAATGTGTTACATAGGTTTAGTCATAAATATTTTAAATAAATGAGGATAGTTTAGTCATTTTATTATGATTTGACATCATAAACAAATATTAATCAAAAAAGTCAAAAGTCACTTTTTACCAACTTCCCAAATCATTTGTCTAAAAAATCAAAAACTTGGTTAAAAGCCAAAAAATCATTTTTTACCATCTTCCCAAAACAACCCACAATAAATAACATACATCCACTGTTAATAACGAATGCGGTGCGTTGGTCTAGCGGAAATGTGGCCAACTTACGTGTGTGATGCGCTGTCGTTTATATATTAAAATATTCTATTTAAAATCAGGTAATAATTATTATTTCAATGGATAAGAGTTAAGATTAGATGTCAATCTTCAGGAACTAATCGAGTTGTGTTGACTTAAAAATAATAAATAAAATAATTTAAAGAAGATTGGTTTTAAAAATAATAAAACTAAAATTAATAAAATATAAAATAAATAAAATAAAATAAGAAATATTTTTAGGTTTTGAATCCACCACTAACGTTATACTCAGGAAGTTACTGATATCTAATTTTTAAAAAATCATTGATTTGAATACCGTGATATAAGTTGATTAGAAATACATCGTTAAAAGGATTTGTATATTAAAACTAGAAAGCCACAAATCATTTTTGCTTAGTACGGACCGTCACCACTAAATTACGATGATGCCCGACCTGTCTTATTAGGTATGACTAGTCTAACAATTCTAATATACAGTAGTGAAAATCATTGTATAATATGCACTCAACGCCTTGAATACATAATTTGGATAAAAACTTTAATGCACAAATAATCTTAGCTATACAACTATATCTAAATCAAATCAAAATTAAAAATATCAAATATAATAAAACTTCAATTACTTAGTAAGAGTTTCATCACTGCTTTAAGAGAAGATTATTTCCTAACACATTCTAATATTTACAACTAGCGGTAACCCGTGCGATGCACGAAAAAATAGACTATATATATTCTGTGTGGTAAATAAATCATCTTAATTTTAAATTATATCTTAATAGCGACAAGCCATAATATTAAGCCATCTAGGTAGATGTTAACAAAAATTAACCCACAAAATTTTACAATAAAATTTGATATGCATAAGAAATTATTAATTATAAAAATTGTTAAGAATAATAGTATCATAATCACTTGATAATATAAATAACTTGTATCAAACTAAACAAAACATTAAAAGAGAGAAATTCTCTAAGCTCAGAAAAGTTATCATAAATTTACTTGGACTTTTAAATCAATGGTATATGTTATTATTGTGGGATCAAATTATGAATAAATATCAACTTTTAATTATAATTTATAAGTAATTTTAAAAAAAAATTAATCTAAGTTTGTTGCCTTGCTTATAAAAAGAGCTTCTCAAACAACTCTCTATCTTTGATTTCCTCTATCAATGACACACTCATATCATATCAAAGTATAAATCATTCTCCATAGTTTGAATAATATTTGCATAGTTCCTATGTCATTTTAAAAAAAATTAATCAAGATAAGAATGTCATAGTATTATAAAAATTATATAAGAGAATAGTTTTAATCCATTTTATTTATAAAAAAATGATAAAAAATCATTTGAATTGTACTTGAAAAAAATATAACAAATGATAGCTTTAATCATTATATACCCAAAAAAAAAAAAATAATTATATCGGTTACTCAACGAAAAAATGGTCAAATACAAATAGAGTCATGAACATTGAATTAAATCATATGGGCTCTAAATTGATAGTATAGTCTAGCAAATCAACTAATAATAACATAAAGATATTGACAAATATGTAGTACTTCCCTATCATCTTTGTATTATATTCATTAATTTCATATATTATATGAAAGTTTTATTCGTCTCGATCCTTCAATAAAATAAGGATCAAGAAAACAAATTTGATAAGAAATTGATTCTAAACTTAATTATTGAAAAAACAAAAATTTCAAAGAGAGAATTTAGAGATGAGATTGAAGAAATACTATAACGAATGACAGCCTTATAAAAAATAAAAAATAAATAAAAAAACATAACAATGATCTAATGCAAATTATTTTTAATAACTAATAGAAAGAATCTCAAATTATTACCTTTTATAAATATAGTGAAGAAAATTAATTTTGTCAGATTTTTGTGCTACCTTCTCCCTTGTAGCCTTTATTATTTCATTATTAATGCTATTCTCATTCAGAGCGATAATTTTTTTTTAATATATAATCTTTATCATTTGGTAGATAATAACAAATAATAAAAATTATCAAGAGAAGGTTAAT